AGTTTTCTCAGCAACTACTCATCACAGCCTCCTGATATGTGTCATAGGGCATAAGCACGTGGTCCCATACCGTGGGATTCGTTTCAGATCTGTTGCTCATCCACATCCTTTTTACTGACTTATTTTAATTTTCGACATTAATGGTCAATCGTAGGAAATTTTCGTAATAGGTTTCTCAACATTTACTTATCACAGTCTCTTGATATTTGGCATACAGTTTGAGAACTTTATATTTTCCATAAGGCCTTAACAATGGTCCATTACCCTTGGATTTGATTTCGCTCATCCACTTCCTGTTTACCGACTTAATTAAACTTGTCATTTGTAGGAAACTTTCGTAACAGTTTTATCAGCAACTACTTATCAAATGCTCTTAATATTTAGTATATAGCATTAACACGTGGTCCCATACTGTTGGATTCGATAATAGCACGGTCGCCTATCCATTATTGATTAATAGTAGGAAATATCGTAACAGGTTTCTCAGCTACACTTCATTACAGCCTCTTGATGTTTGGTATACAGCATTAAGACGTGGTCCCATATTGTGAGATCCGATTTAAGGTCTTCTTCCTGTTAGCCGGTTAGCCGACTTAAATTTCTGACATTGATGGTCAATTGTAAAATATTTTTCGTAACATCACAGTCTCATGATATTTGGTAAACAAATGCAATTCGACCCATTTTTTATCTTTATGATACCGCAACATCTGCTGCGTATATGTGTGCATACTTGTGTGTGTGTTTGCGTGTGTCTGTGTGTGTTCGTGTGTGTGTGTGCTTTGGTGCGTTGGTGCGTTTGTGCGTGTGTTTGTGTGTGCGTGCGTGTGTGTGCGTGCGTGCGTGCGCGTGTGTGTGTGTGTGTGTATGAATATCTGATAACAAAACTTATTGAACTAAACTTTCAACTACATTTTCAGTAATTCAGATGAGGGAATGTCTCTAAACTGCAAAACTGTTACCATCATGATTATTTTCTCTTATTGACCAACGTATACACATATTCTTAAAAATTTCCTGTCAATAAGTAGAAAATGTTTTAAACAATTCTCTGGGATTGTTAATTCTATGAATAATCGTCCCGAAACATTTTATAAAACAAATTTATTATAAACTTTTTTCTCTAAGCCAAACCTATACCTCTATAAACTTGTGTGTATCTTATTACCGTTTTCTTTGTATTTTATCCTTTTTTATACCTTTTAAACTAGTCTCTTTCGTCACACTATTTTGAATTGTTAAAGATCGTAATTGAGATGCTTTATTTACTTCCGTTTTGAAGGATTAATGGAAATATATAAAGAAACAATGAGGAACATAAAATTGGTTAGTAGAATATAATTTACAATAGTTATAATCATATATACATGTATATATATTTAAGGCAGTATTTGATGAGTTAAGTAATAAGCTTATGTTGAAGGAATTTGATATAAATATTTATTATATACTTATAAATGAAATATTGAGAAATATTGATGAAATAAAATGCGTATTTTCATTTTCCGTATTTTCACTGTAAAAATTTATTTTTCACTACAGTGAAACATATTTTCCGTATTTTCACTGGTGTCTTGCCGAACTACTTTCATTTAAATTCTGCCATTACACAAAATTTAAGGGAAAGTCTTTCAAATTTTATAGCAAAAAAGAGAAAAATATATATAATAAACAGAAAATTCAAGTTTTTTCTATAAATACATGATTTATTTTCATCTTGTGGCATGAAAATTACCATATTTCACTCGTGGCTACCGCCACTCATGAAATATTTATTTTCATGCCACTCGATGAAAATAAATCATGTATTTATAGAAAAAACTTGAATATCCTCTATATACATGTATTAACAATTGTGATTGATATTTTATTTCAGCTTCAATGTATAACTTGTTCGCTGAAGCTTAGGAATAGACCGAAAGTTAAGCGGTCACAATAATAGTTTAATTATCAATGTAAACCTAGTAAACTGAGTTTTATAGATGCAAACAAATATTAAGTGAAAATCCTAATTGATTATAACATATTTATTTCACTATTATATCTTGTTAAAATGTTAAATGTACAAGGTGAATACCCCAGGATATAACAAAATACCAACACGCTTCTGTTATAAAGGTTATCAATAATGAAAAACGTAATTTCTTTACAGATTATATATACAATATGTATGTTTCAACTTGTTTACAACACGACAGGAGGTAAGTGTTTTGCTTGAAAGAATTTGCAGTTAAAGTTTTGGTATACATTGTGCATGTATGTATAAACAAAAACTTTATCGACAGTTTAAGTTACTGTTATGCACAAAGGTGCTAGACGTATGATACGTGGGTTGTCCCAATATTGTTTGACAATATTGTTTATAAGCTAAATGAAATAGGTAGAGTTTGATGTTTTATTATGTTATACACGTAAAATGGAATCATTTTTACATATTTCATATAGCAAAATATTAACATAAAACACAATTATGCATTAAATAACAACTATCTAGCAACTATTTGAATCAAAGAAGGCGTTAAAAGTATATTAAGGCGTTTCTCAAATACTCACACACCAACGGTGCAGCTTAAAGTGAATTACTGTAACAGACTTTAATTATGTGGTTGTTAATCTCTGACGAATGTTTTAGAGGGCATGAATTTATTTTTTGCTATAGGCAAATTTCCGATTTCGTTGCACCTGCTTTAGCTTTATTCGTTTTTTTTCCTTATTGCTGCTGTCTGTAGTATTCCGAACATGTCTTTTGTAAACAAATGTTCCGGACATGTTGCTAAAAATTTCTATTCGATACACTTGTCTTAACAGGTGTCATCCCGAGATACTCACAAAACCTGATAACTGTTCGCTGCACCGCAAATTCGTCAAACGTCGCCATTTTAATTTTTCGTTTTTCTATGAGATTTTTTCCCCATTTTTCCGTATCTCGTTCATTTCTTAAGTTATTTAACTGATATTTTCTAGGATAATGTTAACAAAGCAGCAGAGGATGTCAACGCGGTATTGTGCAAACATTTAAATTTATGAGATGTTTGAAATATACGGAATTAATTTAAGAGGACGTACATATTTGTATTCATAACAAAATCCAAAATATTTGACGTGCGCCGGAAACTCATTGATACTGAATTCTTTTAAGTAACCAGATATAATATTTAGTAAATGAATTGTTGTTATGTAATAATATACTTAAAGGTTATATGTCAGAATTATTATATATTGTCGTTAAAAATGAACCGTCTATAAAATTTGTAACGGACTTCTGGAACACCATCATATGTTTAATCTTCATTATTTTGTAAGAAAATATTCATAATACATGGACAAGACATCTGAGATTTAGTTATATTGTTAAAGTAATAGATAAAAGCATCCAAATGCAAAAATGATAATGGTATATATATGTCAGCTCTCGGTTCTGAAATTACTCAGCGATTTTTAATATCATCTAAAGAGAAACTATGCAACATTTATTTTTCTGTAACAACTGGTTAAAACAGATGCTTATTTGCAAGCAAGTCGCCGAAGTTAAGCCCTAAAGAAAGAAAATCCCCCAGATCCAAAATATAACATCTTCATGATAAGAATTTACACTTGAAATGCATTAACAAAGAGACAAACAGGGTCGAACACACATGCAAACGGCTTGATTTCGCTTACTTTTCGAGTGGCACTAAGTCCTTTTCGCCTGAAAGTAAGGAAACAAATCTACATGAGGAGAATCTTTTAACAGGTGAAAATCCAGAGGCATAACCATATAGCATAACACTTCTGTTGTAAAGGTAGACAATAAAGAAATACGTAACCTTCTTTACAGATAATATATACGTACCTCTCTATGCTAGTTATGCGAAACAGAAGGCAGTAGCATGTGTGTCATATAACACCTTGTTTACATATGTGAGATTTAATGATAATTTTAATAAAAATTGTTGATATTTTATTTAAAACATATTATCTTTTCCCGGAATATACACATTAACATATATACATGTACAATACAAATCGAACACTCTCGTATTACAGAAAAGGATTAGAACGAAAGACTAAATCCTATAAAATTCTTCTCCGTTTTACTGTATTTCTAAAATGTGTCGAGATTTTAACTATATCAAAAAGTATAACAAATAGGTAACATAAATATTATGAAAAATTAAAGCTGTAAAAATATTCTTTGCCAGATTTGAGTGAAACGCTTTTCAATTTAGTGTTATTTATCACATTAGAATAATTATTCTGAAAACAAATTAAGTGAGCGAATGACATGAAAATTTGCACACAACTTATTTGCCTTAATTTTTATAGAAATGAACATAAATCTCGAAAAATTATATCCAGTCCCGTCAAGTCAAAAACAGTGAAGTCCCTTTAACAAGTAAGAAACAATACAGCATCAAAAATGACTGAAAAGTACGTACAGATTAATGTGGTGTTGTTACTAACAAAAACGTTACTAAAAAGCAAACTGGTCTAATTTAGAGGAGAGAAAGAAAGTCTCACAGATACATTCAGATACATACATCAGAGTATTAAGGGTAATGTTGAAATTGTTAACCTTTTGAAATAACTTTTGTCTGTGTGTGTTAAAATTTGGGCATTCAAGAAATAAAACAAATTAGTTTCCGCTTGCATTTACTCATAAAAGTGTTTAGGATGTATATTTTTATGAAAAAAGGTTTTTTTTAGTTTAAAGACCTGCATTTTGTGCGTTATTTTGCATGTAATATTTGAAGTTTCCTATCATCATAATAGAAGTATTTTTTCGTAAATTTCTGTTTACATTGTAGATAAGTTTTGAACATTGAAAGTGTTGGCAAATTTCGAATGTTAAGGGGTAGATTCCTCCACCCAAGTATGGCATTTGGGAAAAAAGAATTTGAATATAATATAGTTCATGCTTATATACCGCTTAAGTCATGAGAATTTCTTTAGTAAAAGCGTGTGTGTTTGGGATCTGGTATAGGCAAAGCCAGGGACTTCGTCGTATTTAATTTTGTAAAATAAAATCAATGGTTAAGACATCTCTGCCCTAATGTTTCCCAACTGATTTCATTTTCAAATGAGCCTTGTTGCACCCAATTGTATTCCAATACATTTGTTTTGTATTTTGTCTAAAAGATCAAGTTCATATTCAAGTGCTTTTCTCTATACGACGTCGGCATATTAGATATTGGTCTTATAAACGACGTATAAATTACAATTATTTTTAATGATTTACGATCTAATACAGATTTTATTTTTCTAAATACATTTACCTGTTTATGCTTTTTCTCTGATATAATTTATATGTTAGTGTCATATGAAATTGTTATATAAAAAGTGTTTATGGTCAATTACTTCTGGTATATTTTGGTTAAGCATTTGGAGTGGTTGGTGATAACTTTTTCTTTTTCTGGAGATGATACATGATTATGACAAAGATGGATTAAAATTGACAATAAACATCTTGAAACAGCCTTGATATAAACTTGAGCGGTTCTCAATTCGCAACACTTTAAAATGCTGAACTCAATTATCACGATGACCAGAATAATATAACAACACTGATGTAGTATGGGGCAACTTTTTATAGGATATACACAGCAGATGACACATAATGTTGTGATGTATAAATATCTGTAATAGAGTGAACCCTTGGAAGCAATATAAACAGCAATATTTAATCGGTTTGATTGGGCCTATACATAAGGGATTATGAAAAAGTGCAACATCCCTCACGCCTCCTTGCACTGGCTTGAGCGATACTCAGTTCTCAGCACTTACAAGTGCTGGGGTCATTAATTCCGAAGGACCAGAAAATATAACAGTACGGGTCAACATTTTAAAGCTGCATGCCTCCAGATGAGTAAAAATATTTCAATAAAACCAAACTTGAGAAATATGTACTAAGACTTTAGAAAAGCAAAATGATTCAAGATTCAAGTAATATTTTACATGTTATATGCGATTTATGACTGTTTTTTCAGTATTTACAACTATATTTCTACTGCGTTACTAACGTAGTAAGGGCTATTTATGCATATCTTGACCACATTAGGTAATTTACGTGGGTTGTAAGTGCAATTGATTATGTGTAAATTGCTTCCTTTTGGTTATTTCACAATATTATACATTCAAATCAATTTTCAAATTTTCATGAAAATGAGCATGAATATTGAGGCGTTCCGCTTTAAGCTGACGCAAAGCACTTGACACCTGCTGTTTTGATGAATAAATACAAATCATTTGTCTGCCCAAGCAGTTATTTTTTTTATATCTGATTGTACTTGTTTAGATGTAATTTATGGGATTTCAAAGACAAGATAGAGACTTCTATCATCAGCAAAAATGTTAGCATTAGATTGAAGATTTTGAAAAATGTCATTAATATGCAAATATTAATATAAATATACAAAGAATCGTGCTATGATGGACACCTGCCTCAAGAGCACCCAGGAAGTTTTTGCATCTGTCCAAAGAACCCGCTGACGTCTAGATTTTAAATAATCTCAAAAACGATCCGACATTTGTTAGATATACCTTAATACTTTAGTTTACAAAGAATGTCTTTATACCTGACCTTATCAAATGCCTGTTAAGATATATAACTCTAGCTTCAAGGCCATTAAGAAGTAGTTTGCAAAGACTATCATAGATATATACAAATTTTATTTCCAGTTGAAACCCCTACAGCCTGACTGCACTGGGTTAAGAGTTCTATTTGATTTCAAGATGCCTAAAAAATGTGACGCTAGAAACCTGTTCTATAGTGCTAAACAATGAAATTAGTCTTTGGGTGTTCTTCTTTTAAAAAATATCTGTAACATGGGATTTCTTTCAAAAAGATGGAACTTTGCAACAGGATATAAAGAAGCGTTAAAAAGATCGGTTAAAGGTACAAACAGTTCATGTGAAGATTCATGCATAATTCAGTTACAGAAAGCATCTGGTCCAGATGCTTTGTTTACTTTTAGAGATATGAGAATATTTTCTGTTTCGAATGAATATTCGAAAAGATTATCAAGAGTAAGTAGTGTTGATGTCATACCTAAGTCAGGTACATTTGTATTAGAACGTTCAATATCAGTTTGTGTTAAAAAAAATAACCATTCTAAAGATTGATATTTTACGACAAATATATCAAGAGCACCACATAGCCGTGACATTTTGAGGGTTTTTTTGTCATTGAGTAAATAAAATTTAAAGTAATCAAAAACATTTT